GCACTTTTTCATGGTGTTCTTCCTTCACAGCATTCTTCCTTCATGGCTACCACTTCTGATTTTTCTTTGGGGGCTCTTTCTCTGACTTACATATAAATCTGGTAGCAGAAGGGTTATAGAAACTAGCTCGTAATAATGCCAGAAACAGAAATTTTCACATGGATGTTGAGTTTCCTCAGCATTCAGTCCTTGGTCTTCATTATTTTCATTATACCCCCTACCTTGAGTCTCTCATGTATTTCTCCAGTGTGGCTGTTATCTATAGACTGGTCATTCATTTCTCTGAGGAATACTGTGAATACCAGTCTGTGCCAGGCAATGTGTGATTCCTGCCCTGGATTACACAGCCTCAGCAATGGGAATACACACTTGAATAAGAGAGTCTTCTTTATACTTTAATTTGTAGAGTCATAAGGCAATGTGGAGGAGCTGGAGATAGATCGTTAGATGGGTATATTATAATACAACATAGAAGACAGTGTATTAAGGGAGTGAAGAAAGTATGACTGTTTGGGGGAATCAGGGAAGGATTCTTAGAAGTAAAATTTAGACAAATTTAGCAAGGTGTGTGTTTGCCAACAATATAAGATGTGGAAGGCATGTCTGGAAAAGGAAATCACTCATGAAAATGAAGAATTGCTCAAATAGGAAGGTAAGTTTAGGGAATTAAGAGAGCCCAAACTAGAGTGAAAGTAGAGGGAAGGAGAAAAGGAAATGGGGAGGGAAGTAAGGAGCCAGATTACAAAGAGACTTGGGTTTCATCTATAAGCAATGGGGCAATAGAAGATTTTAAGCCAGAATTGACACTCTGGTACTGGAGCAGGCAGAATCTCAAGGAAGCTACCTACATGGTTGATCTTAATCTGGTCCCCTTATCTTTTAAAAAAACGTTTTTTTGTCTATTTCAACTCATCTATTCATTTTCTTTGGGACTGGGCAGTGTACTATCATATAAATATTGTAAGCTTACTTTTTCTCTGGTATTTCTTCACATTTCAGCCCTAAATGTGAAGATGATGGTAAAAAAATGAAGGAAGAAGAACCATTTGAATTGGACACTGGAAAAACAGAAAAAGATCCACATTCAAACCATCCTTTCAAGGTACCTATGTTGTAGAGTCCCTGGTTAGATAGTACAGTTCAGACATGTAATAGGGTCAGTCGACAGTGTGACATTTGAGAGCCTGAGACATGCAGCTCTCCAAAGAGACATAGTCAGAAGATGTAGTGGGTGTCAGGAGTTTATTGAGGAAAGGAAAGTAAGAAGAACATTGAGTTCTAGCCACTGAGTAGTCAGGAAGGAGGCCTTAAAAACAGGACTAGGACTAGGCCAAGTTAGCAAGGCACCCACGGTGCAGTATACAAAGGAGCGTCCACTCGCAGGTGCTGTCCCTGTGTTTGCACAACTCTGGAGGGAGGGCCTCCTTAAATTGTTGTGCCTTAATGCCCTGCTTAGAAGAGTGACTTCACCTCTGAACTTGGTCATCTCATCTGTAAAATGAGAATAAATAATTCCTATTCAACTACCATCCTCACTTCCATTCCAGTTCTGCTTTGTTTGTGGTGATAAAATGAATTAATGTGCATGAAAGTACTTTGTAAGTCATAAGGTATCATAAAAATGAAATATATCATTGCCGTTCTTAATATTAAATGTGAATGTGTATATATATCTATATCCAATTGACACTATCCCCTTGAAATTGATGAGTATGGTGGAAAGCTCGAATAGTAGAAACCACCAGAACTAGTACCAGCACGCAAAACATTCTAGATACCAGACCAGCAGATGGCATAGAGATTACATCGCTGGACTCCCATCTGGCCGACCAGGGTTTGAGTCCTGAACCTGGTGCCTGACAATAATGCCAGGTGTGAGTACGTGCATGCCCAAGATCCCAGGAGGAGAATGGAGGAGAAGGGATTATAGTATAGCCATTCTTCCAGGGAGTGATTTCTCACTTTCCCTCTCACTGTCTCTATCACTGTCTCTCTCTCGCTGGTGAGTATACATGCCCTATGGTAAAAACCTCTTAAACAAAAAAAAATTCTTGACACCTTCCGGAGATGAGTCTGCCACTTAATATCAATTTGTCCAGTGCCATCTATGGGGCTGGGGTAAATCAAACAGTACATTGGCAGTGAGGGCCTTCACTGGTGTGGAGGCCCAGAAGCCAGGATAGACCAGGATGGCTACTTCTTGAGCTTCACAAAGCAGCACAATTCAAAGGAAGGGTCCAGACAGGGGGAGCAGCACTAGGTATCAAGACCAGAGGGCAGGGCAAGGTCATAAATGACTCTCAACACTAGTGGTCAGGAAGGGGTTAATCAGAATCTGAGAAAGGCAGCAGAACTATATGAGTAAGGAGACTGATCATATAAAAGTATCACCTTGTCTCTTTCGGTGCTGGCTACATGACCTGAGTCGCGTGTGGGATCTGGCTACCGCAAGAGTCACTTCCTTTTTAATGGAGTGGGTTTAGGTTTTGAAAAATGTTAAAAGGTACTTGGAATACATGAATGAGGTGAGTGACCTAGCTGAGCACAGCTCTTTAAGGTCAACTATAAATTCTAAATTAAGAGATATATAATCCTTGTGATGTTAAAATGGGCTCTAGGGAACATCCCCAAGGTTAGCCCTAAGAGAATCACTGTACTGCTGTAATAGGGGACTACACTGAAGGATGATGGTCACCATAGTTCTGTAAAACATTAACCTGTTTCTTGTAATTTTTTCACACTTAAAAATTCCTTCTTGGCTTTGCTCCTCTTGTTCTGACAGTCTGTCCAAGATCCCACCAATAACTCAGGGTAGTCCATTCCTTAAATCTATTAATTCCATTACTTCCAAGTGCTTTCAAATGTATAATTATCATGTACATTCATGTCTACTCTGTTTTAGTGGGAAGGATAATAATCTATCTCCCATTTTCATTGACAACTAGAGAACACTGAAATCACCAGAATATTCTATCAGGATCAGGAAAGTCATGATACTTTTTGCATAGGAAAACAGAAAAAATACGTCATGACTTTTCTGATGATTTAATAATTCTTCTTTGTTTCCAGTGTGTTCCTAAGATCTTTCTGAGATGTAAATCAGGTTAGATGTATCTCTTGCCTGGCTCTCTGTGATTAAGGAATAAAGTTAGGACTCTTGGCCTTGCATATAAGACCTTCATCTCAGACACAGCTCCATTTTATTTTGTCAGCCTCATTTCTAGTCTTTCTTCTCTATCTCTTCCCCTTTTTCCTTCAATTCTTCCATCAGTAGCCTCTATGCTGTCCTAGTAAGAACACAAACATTTCCAAATACCACAGGCCTTCACTTATGCTTGTCGTCCTTTATCACCTCTATCAACATCCTACTTACATGTTAAAAAATACAGTGTAATAAAACCTATTTTTAAAGTTTTCCTTAACTTTGTCTCCCAGCCCAGAGAATCAACTTCTTCATCTTGTTTCCATGGCAACGAGCAATGCTGCTGTAGATAACGTTTATCACATTATACCCTAATTGATTGTTTGTATGACCAGTGTGTAAGATACTCAGCCCATTGGAACTGCCCACTATGAGAGCTTGGAAAGATGCAATGGTAGGCAAAAGGAAGAAAACAGGAAAAAAATCTAAGGCCTTCTTTCAAAGAGAGCTCTGGGCTTGAGCCATGCCACAGTAGATTACTCATTATGGGACCAGAGACCAGTGATTTAACGTCTCTAAACTCTTCATCAAGAATATTGATGATATTTTCCTCGTGGACTGTCATGACAACTGAGTGAGACTGAATGTATAAAGAGCCTGCTTTGCAGTTGGTGTCCTATTATACCCTGACTGCCTCTGTGTAGACATTCATTGGCCATTTGGAGGTAAATTAAGGACATGGTATGCACATTCATGGATCTTAGAGTTTGGTGGACAGTATTAAATAAATCACAAGGAATTATTATCCACGAGGAATGAATGAATGTAAAACAACAAGAGGAAGCAAAGAACTTCTCAAATAAACCAGTCTTTCAGTACTCTTCTTGTTGCATATGTTTAGGTAGTGGCCTATCAAGGGACACCCCAGAAAATCCAGATGGCCACAGTCCACAGAGAGAGAAAGAACATGCTGGCTGAGAATCAGGATGCTCTGACTGATATCAACCAGATGAAGGCCTGCCCCAAGGGCACAAAGCTGACTGAGCACTCCCAAGGCCCTGGTAAGTTGCATTTCTTCCTGATTCTCTTCACCATTATCAAGCTGTTTTTTAAAACTAAACAGGCCAAAGTTTTAATTTATTTTACAGATAGGTATCAAACACCTTTGACATGTCAAATAACTTGACCCATTGAGGCAGCTGTGAGGTAGTAGAAAGAGCTCTGGATTTAGAAGCAGAGGACTCAAGTTCAAATCTAGGCTCTAATAGTTACTGCCTATTTGATAAGTAACTTCACATTCCTACAACTCAGTTTCTTCACTCAGAAAAAGGGATAATAGAGTCCTTGGAGGGCTTTTCTGAGAATCAAACTCAGCATAATGCTGATAAGTTAGCAAATGTTTAGTCTTTTCTTTTTATACCTACTATCCTGTTGTCTTCGTAGGCCTACATCATTGACCCACCGATAATGCTGTATGGTATCATGTGTTGACATTTTGGAGTTGCATTTTATCTTTGTTAGTCAGTGCTCTTGATTGCAAGCAACAGTAATCAACGCACATGATGTTAAACAAAAAAGAAGGAAGAAAAGAAGGAAAAAAGGAAGAAAGAAATGGCAGTTCTCTCAGCAGAAATTATAAGTTTGACTGAATCCAGGAAAACAAACAGTATCACAAGAAAGTGAAAAAAGCAAAACTTTACTCCTGATTTTGTTCCCCTTAAAGTTGGCTCCATTTTTTGGAAAATATTATCCCATTAGAGGCAAGATGGCATCCACCAGTGACAGGTTTTAACCTACCCTCTTAAGAGCCCCAGAGGAAAGTTAGAAACATGTATCACACCAACAGTTTTAACAAAAGACCCAGATCTGAGTCTCGTTAGTTCTGACTGGGACACATGCCATCCTGAATCAATCATTATGGATAAGGGATACGATGAACTGATTGGTTCAGCCCATGTAATAACCATCACCTCTGCCTCTCAGATGTGGGGGTAGGATGAGTTCTATCAAAACCACGTATCATTAGATGAAAGGATTCCCAAGGAGAGTAAGATGGCTGTTCAGACTAGAAGTGAGAGATGTACATTGGATAGAAAAGAAGGTATCTGCTCTAGCTCAGTAAGCCATGACAAGCCACTGACGTTCTGTAACGTGTAATAATCACAGTTATGAGAAGAATAAATTGTCACTGATCATATAATGGACTCAAGGCCCCTCAAAACCTGTCTCCAGCCTACTTAGCCTCATGCGTGCCTCACACCTCCTGCCTTGCATACTCTGTCCTCTATTCTCAAGTAACTTCACAATTTTGCCTGGTCACTTTCCTCCATCTGGAATGCCTTTATCCTCACTCTCTACCTTCCCATGTCCTATTCATCCTTCGAGATAAATCTCCCAAATCACTTCTTCTGAGGCCTCTCTTACCTTTAGTCCATCTTCCTCTATCCCATTCTCCAGGTACCGTAATTCCTCATGTCTCTCTGCATCCATGACACTTAAACATTAACACAATAACCACGTTTTCATAGTAGGATTTGAAGTTGAACGTTTTCAGTACCCAGGACCGTTCTATACTAACCCTGGAACCTTGAGAAACTTACCGATTTTCATGTGCAAATGAAGAAAGTACTATTTTTCCCTAGAGTTATATGTCATTGTTTATAAAGCATCTAGCTCATATTTTAAATAACTGTTAGATATCCTCATGTATTTTCTTTTTTAAAAAACCGAAGCAAGCCTTATATTTAATTCATGGTTTATATGTTGTATATTGTGGTGTACTGTGAGCACCTTGAGTTCAGAACCTCCTTGCTATTTTTCTGCTGCTTTAAAACCTAGCACAGGGTCTGCAATAATGGAGATGACCAATAAAGTTTTGTTGAATGAAGGAATGAAAGAATAAATCAAGCTTCAGTTCTGAGAAGATGGCAGACAATTGGAATATTCTCTGACTGAAACCAGTAAAGAGAATAATTCATGGCTTAAAACATTAATACAAGTATCATTATAGTACTTATATGAAAAGAAACTACTCTCAGACATGCAGTAACTGGGAACCCTGGAAGGTGTGTACCAAAGTTGACCATTTCCCTGTGGGTCTTTACTGAGCTCTGACTCCCTTGAGCTTCTCTATTTGACTGCATGGTGTGTGCAGGGTAAGAGCTCTATCTCAGGGCTTGCCCAAAGAGAGTTTATAATAGGAGACAGCTGTATAAAATTGGGATTCCAAAGAGTCGGATCTATACCCTAACAATGAACATAAGTCTCACTAAGCAGAAGAAAATCTGCCTATTTGGACTCTCATACTAGGTGAAGGAAAAAAAATAATTCAAAATTCAAAAAATAACTGCCTGCCCTTACATGGTCATCATTGTTCTAGGTGCTACAAAAGCATAGCAATAAACAACAAAATTCCTCTCCCTGTGGAGGGTGCTTTCCAATCAGAGGAGATAGAGAATGAATATATAAGCAGTAAAATATCTTCTATGTGGAGTAACAGTAAATATTATGAAAAAATAATAAAAGAGAATTAGGGGCACAGGTAGAGGTGGTGGAATTTGCACTCATAGAAGAACTTAAAGACCTAAAGTAGGTGAAGGAGAGAACCATATGTGTATCTGGGATAGGAATATTCTAGGGAGAATGAAAAAGTGCCCAGTGACCTGCAGCAGGAGTCTGCCAGATGTGGTCATAGAACAGCAAGGAGGGGAACAGCAGTTGGCGTAAAGGCTATGTCACTGCACTCCCACGTAATTGACTGCAGTTCGAGTCCAGGACCCAGTGGCTTAAACTCACGCTGGGCACGTGTGAGCACATGCCTATAATCCCAAGAGGAGAACGGAGGAGAAGGGATTACGGCATGGCCACCCCCAGAGGGTGATTTCTCGCTTTCTATCTCTCTGTCTCTCTCTGTCTTTTTGGTGAGCACAAGCACCCTATAGCAAAAACCTCTCAAAAACAAACAAACAAATAAAAACAAAAAACAAAACAGCAAGGAGGCTAGTGTAACTAGGACAGAGGGGTTGAAATGTGGCAGGAAATGAGATCAGAGAGGTTACTAGGGGTTTTCTTAGACCATCGTGAGAACTTTGCCATTTGATTTTTCAAACCATTGAAAACTTTAGAGCACAAGAAAGGCATGATCTGACTTGCAATTTTAAAGAATTATCTGGCTGCCATCTTATAAACAGGAAGTAGGATAAAGCAGGGAGACCTGTTAGGATATGTGAAAAACTTAGATGAGACGATGTTACCGCCATGGTAGATGTGTTTGGATTCAGGATCTACTGGAAAGCAAAGCTGACAGATGGCTGCAGATTGGAGGTGAGATATGAAAAACAGGTTAAAGATGTCTCTAAGGTTTTGAGCCTGAGTTTTGTTTTGTTTTGTTTCCTGCCTTTACTAGGGATGAGGTTTAGGAAAAGCAAATTTACAGACATTGCGAGTTTGGTTTGGAGCATGATATGTTTAGACGAACAAATGAAAATTGTCTGGTAGTTGATGGAGTAGCTAGAATTCATGAGGGATATGTAAGTTCGAGATATAAACTGAGAGTTGTCTGAATTTTTGAAATGAAACCATAAACTTTTACACTTGCCACAGCCAAGAGGCAGGATTAAGACAAAAATGGAATGTCCCAAATTAAGAAAGAAGCAACTACGCATTCAGTATCTTTGTGCCGTCCTGGAGAAATTTACTGAAAACTTTGAGAAAAAGCCAGACCTTATGGCTCTGGGAGTTCACGTTCATTGTAATGGCTTGAGACCTGCCTATATGCTGACCACTCAAACAGTTGTTGCTTGATTCATTTCATTATTAAGTACAAGTAGGTTGGATTATTTCTCAAATATATTATTTTCGATGAATAAATCGTATCTGAAAATGGTGATGAATCATTTATACCCTAAATATTAACCTATGCCAACCGATAAAAAGGTGGCAGGATTATGGTTACAAGTTCACAGCTCTGCGAAGAAAACCAGCGCCTACATTTATCAGGCTGCTATTTGGGTAAACAATCCCTAGACACTTTCTGACCTGACACACTATCTTCTGGTAATTCTATCATTAATTAATAATAAATGCTTGCATGTGTTCAGTCAACTTGTCTAAGAAATTTTGCTTTAAGAAAAACATTCTGCATTCTGTAAAACTAGATAAGGTCAACTAGATATAGACATGCCCCACAGTTCTACCTGAGAGGACTTCAACATTTGAGGTTGAAGATTAAAGGAAAATTCAGGAGTAGTTATTTGTTTACAAGGGATCCAGCACCCTTCAAAAGTAAGTATAAGCATAGCTCAAAAAGTTTAAAGGATGAATTTATTTTGCTTCACAAGTTTTTGAAAGCCAGGCATAGTTGGTTTTCTTTTTTAATTTTTTTAAAATTTACAGTTAATCACTGTATATCTTTATAGTGTACAATATGGTTTTTCCCAACATGAACATAATGAGTATTAGTCAAGTCAAAAATATTATCATCAGGGACCGGCAGTTAGGGTAATGGCTATGTTGCTGGACTCCCATGTAGCCAACCGTGGTTTGAGTCCCAGACCCAGTGGCTTAAACTTACGCTGGGCACGTGTGCGTGTGTGCCCAAGATCCCAAGAGGAGAATGGAGGAGAAGGGATTGCAGTGTGGCCATCCCCCCTGGGGGGTGATTTCTCGCTTTCTGTCCCTCTCTCTTTCTGGCGAGCGCACGTGCCCTATAGCAAAAACCTCTCAAAAACAAAATATCATCAACAAATAACTTTTCATTTTTGTGTCTATTCAGTGTTTTCTTTTTTTCTGGTCTCTCCCTCTCACCCTTTATTTCCTACCCACTATTATCCACCCCCTCCTATACTGTCTGAAGTATCTACAGTGGGCCTCCCTTCCAGTCTCTCAGTTTCAGCTACAGAGTGCAGACATCTGATATATATTAAACAGGGACATACAATACCTGTCATTTATAGTTTTTATAGCTGAGCAGTATTCCATAGAGCATGTGTCACATTTTTTTCAATCCACTCATCCATTCTTGAACATTTAAGTTGATTCCATGTCCTAGCAATTGTGAATAATACTCCAATAAATATGGATCTGTACATGTTTTTCCAACTGAGTGTTTTCCTATCGTTTGGGTAGATACCTGAGAATAGAATTACTGGGTTATATGGTGGTTCTATTTGTAGGTTTCCAATGGACCTTCATATTGTTCTTCACCAGGGTGGTATTCTATATTCCTACCAACAGTGTAAGAAGGTTCCCCTTCCACTGCAGCCTACTGGGCCCTCTCTTCTTGATTAATCTAGCTAATGGTTTGTCAATTTTGTTTATTGTGTCAAAGAACCAGCGTTTTTGGTTTCATTTATTTTCTGTATAGCTCTTTTATTCTCTATTTTAGTTATTTCTGCTTGAATTTTTATTATTTCCTTTCTCCTGGTGTTATTTTGTTTTGTTTTGTTTTTGTTGTCATTTTTCCACTTCTATGAGATTGTCCTCAGGTTGTCTATTTACCACCTTCCTGCTTTTTTCTTGTAGGCACTAATTGCTGTGAACTTCTCCCTTATGAAAACTTGTGTGCTCATTATTATTGGTTTCAATGATTTTTTTTTCAGTCTTAATTTCTTTGGCAGTTGCGAGGTCACTCAGAAGTGTGTTGTTAAATTTCTGCATATTAGAGTATTTTTGAAGGCTCTTTTTTTGCAGTTAATGTCAAGTTTAACTCCATTTAATTTCAAGGAGAAGATGCTGGTTATAGTTCCTATTGCTTTGAATTTGTAAAGGCCTATTTCATGGCCTATCATGTAGTTGATCTTTGAAAATGTTCCATGTGCAGGAGAGAAAAGTGTGTACTTTGTAGTTATTGGTTGAAAAGTTCTATAGATGTCTGTCAAGTCCATTTAATTTATGGTGTCATGTGATCCTATATCTGTTTGCTTATTTTTGGTCTAGATGATCTGCCCAGAGGAGACCGTGAGGTATTGAAATTGCCAATGATTACTGCATTGCAGTCTATCTCTCCCTTTAGATTTAGCAGTCTGTATTTCATATTTTTGGGTGCTCCAGAGTTGGGTGCATAAGTATTTATATAAGTGTTAAATCTTCTTGGTGAATTCATCTTTTTAGTACTATAGTGTCCTTTGTCTCTTCTTACAGTTTTTGTCTATTTTATCTGATATCCAGACTGCTTTTGATTTTAATTTGTATGGTATATATTTTTCTAGTCTTTCACTTTCAGTCTATGCATGTCTTTATCCATGAGGTGCAGTGTTTCTTATAAATACTATATAAGGGGCTCCTTTATTTTTTTCCTAAATGTATTCAGTCAGTCTGTGCCTTTTAATTGGAGAATTTAATCCATTAACATTCAGTGTTACTATAGATATTTGTGGGCTTATCCCTGTCATTTTGTAAGCTATTTTGTTTGTTATTTTGTGTTCTTTCATTTCCATTTGTCTCCATTTAGTTTTTCTAATATAGAACTCCTGTAAATATTTCTTAAAGAGACATTCTAATGTTGGTAAATTCTTTTAGGTTTTGTTTATCTGAGAAAGTAATTTATTTTTTCTTCCCATTTGAAGGATAACCTCATGGGTATAGTATTCTTGGTTGAAAATGTCTTTTAGCGTTTTGAATGCCCATTCCTTGTTTGCATTGTTTCAGTCAAGAGTTAGTTTAATAGGATAACATCTTTAAGTAACTTGACACTTCTCTCTTACCATTTATTGAACCTTGTCTCTTGATCTTTGATTTTTAGCAATCTGGCTATAATGTGCTGAAGGAAAAGGATCTTCTTATGTTAATTCTATTTGGTGTCCTTTGTATTTTTCTGGGTCTGGATGTGTGAATGAAATATTTCATTCTGAGAATTAATTCAGGGAGTATATTCTACACAAGGAATAGATTTTTCTGTACCCTTATCAGATTCTTCACTTTCTAAATACCACTTGTTCAGATATTCAGGCATTTAATGATATCTAGTATTTCCATGTTGTCCTCATTTTTTTTTGGTTATTTTTTCTTTCTATTAGTGTGTGTGTGTGTGTGTGTGTGTGTGTGTGTGTGTGTGTTTATCTTCTTGATCAGAGATCCTATCTTCCACATGGTCCCATCTATTAATACCATAGAGGGAGGTTTTCTTTTATTATATTGCAGTCTTCATCTCTAGAAGTTCTGTTTGACTCTTTTTAATAATATCTATCTCTTGGGACCAGCAGTTAGCATAATGGCTATGTCGCTGGACTCCCACATAGTCAACCGTGGTTCGCGTCCCAGACCCGGTGGCTTAAAACTCATGCCGGGCGCATGTGTGTGCGTGCCCAAGATCCCGAGAGGAGAATGGAGGAGAAGGGATTGTGGTGTGGCCATCCCCCCGGAGGGTGATTTCTCACTTTCTGTCTCCCTGTCTCTCTCTCTCTCTGTCTGGCAAGCACACACACACCCTATAGCAAAAACCTCCAAAAATAATAATAATAATAATAATAATAATAATAATATCTACCTCTTTATGGAGTTCCCCCTTCAAATCATGGAATGATTTTCTAATCTCCTGGACTTCGTTGTCTGTTTTCTCTTGCCTCTCATTAACTTTAGTTATGATAAATACTCTGACTTCTTTTTCTAACATCTTGGTAATTTTCTCTGTTTTCCATAATTGGAGATGAGTTTTTGTGTTCTCTTATGGGGGGAAGTATTTCCAGGTGTTGTCACAGTTGAGGCTCTTCTGTGATTTTTAGTAAATTGGTGATGTAGTCACTTCGTGTTCATTCTTCAGAGTAGGTTTATGTAGCTGTGTACTCACATGCTTACCTTTGTTGTGAATTAGTTCTGTGCCTATTTCTCTCTTCTACTGTGGTTTTCCATGTGGTATCCATGGTAAGAGTCTTGTGTTTAGATTTATGAAGAGGAGTTTCTCTCTTTTTACTGGTGGGTTCATTGGGAGGACAGGGTTCCTCCAGAACCTCACAGTGTTCAGATGTTTGGCTCCTATATACATAGATCTCTCCAGTCCCTGTGTGGGAGGGGCCTGAGCAGCAAAGTGAGAATGTAAGGTGGTTAAAAAAAAAAAATGTGCCCATGCTATGCATGGTGCACAAACCAGTCAGCCCTGGCTCCTGGACCCTACCCTGGACAAGGGCCTTCAGGTGGATAGTGGTTGCTAAAGGGTCTGCTATCTGCTATCCCTCCTCTACTATGTGGCCAGGCATAGTTCTTGTTTTTAAATTATATTCACTTTCTATGAACTTTTTGAATTAATAGAATTCTGTATTTAATCATTGCATCACATAAGAGTCAATGCCTGTATGATTCTCCTCAACCTTAGAGAATCATAACTGAGGCTCTCCAGGATGAGGTGGATAGTTCAGGGATAATACATACCAAGATTATATTCCAGCTTCAGCTTGTTTAATCTGCCTTTTCTGTTTTGGCCTCCCTTGCCAGTGATGTACGTGAATGCATTTATGTCGGCCCCTGATGAGACATTCTTCAGGGAGATTCTCTATTTTCCTTACAGGTACATATGTGGAGGCCTTGGAAATGTCTCAAGAAACCCCAGACACAGGGGCCTTGAAGCCAAGTTCTATCTCAGAGGAGACCTATGATGATGTTGAGTATCCCATGAGAGAGACGTAAGTCCATTCCAGCCTTTCAGCAAGATGAATGTGTTGAGACTTTAGGATCCAACAGGTTAATGGTCTTTGTATCTTTTCCTCACAGACCGAAGTTGGAGTTCTCTGACTCATTTGCTTCAGACAGTGGTAAGTATAAGCAGACGTTTCTCAAACTGCCAGTAGGGTTTATAAAGTCTTTCCATGGCTAAATAAAGGTCTCTTTTATGTATACATGACTTTAATAATACCCACTAGGTGGGGTGATAAGAAAATGAGAGAAGTGGTCCCATACTATGTGCAAATAAGTGCATTTATAATAGAGAACATGGAAATGCTGGTAAAGGGGTTCTTGTAGTAAAAAGTGACTTCACAATGCAAACATGATTAGAGAAATGTTTTTCTTTTTCTTTCCTAATATTTTAGATTGTTTTGCCTTAGGGCATGTATGCTCACCAATGAGAGAGAGAGAAAATGAGAAATCCTCCCCTTGGGGAGATGGGCATGCCACAACCGCTTCTCCTCCATTCTCATCTTGGGATCTGTGGCATGCACACACACATACACACAAACACACACACACACACACACACACACACACCCCTGGTGTGTTTTTCAGGCCCCCTGGTCCAGGACTCCAACCTCAGAGTCAGCTACGTGGGAATCCAGTGCCTTAGCCACCACACCACCTTCTGGCCCCAGGAATTTTATTTTTTAAATGTTCTCATGGCTTCTGATACTTCTAAAACCAACCTTAACCTTCTCCTTGCTTCTACAGCCTCATCTCACACTATACCCCATCATAGTGAGACCCAGTCATGCTGACCTTTAAGCTTCTATGATTTTGCCAAGCTCATAGCACAGGGGGTTTCCATATGCTACTGTCTCTTCTTGGAAGGCTCTTTCCCCTCCTGGGCCCCTTTGCCTAAGTGATTCTTTGGGTGTGTGAGGGGAAATTTTTGTTATAGGGCATGTGTGTTTGCTGAAGAGATGGAGAAAGATAAATTGAGAAATCACCCCTCAGGGGAAATGACCACACCACAATCCCTTTTCTTCCATTCTCTTGTATTTTAGGTATGCACACACATGCACCCACTATTGAGTCTCAGGCTGCCATGTCTGGGACTTGAACCACAGTTGGTCATGTGGGAGTCCAGTGCTTAAACCACTATGCCCCTCTGACTCTGCCTAAGTGACTCTTAATCTTAATTCTGATCTCAGCTCAATCATTATGCCCCCAGAGACTATTCTCCTTGGTATACAATCTCATAGAACTATGGACCTTATACAGTTGTACTTTTATATTTATGTGATTCTTTGACTAATAATTGTCTCTTCTCCCAGAATACTACCTCCTTTATGCTTACTGTTTCCCCCAGCTCCTACAATACACATGCTAGAGATTCAAGGAATATCTGTTGAATGAATGAGTAAAAATCAGTGGAGGACCAGCCCCATGGCCTAGTGGTTAAGGAAACCAGATCCCACATGGCTGACATGTGATTTGAATTCCAGCCCTGGAGGCTTGAAAAACATGCTGGGCACATGTGTATTTGTACCCCAAATCTTCTCACAATGGAAAGGTGGAAGAGAAGAGATTGAGGTGTGACCAGATCCCATTGGGTGTGCTTTCTTCTCTCTCAGTCTCTGGTGAGCACATGTGACTTCTGGCATTAAAAAAAAAAAAAAAAAAAGTAATGGATGAGCTAGCAGATGGTGTAGCAGTAACATCGCTGGACTCCCATATGGCTAACCATGGTTTGAGTCCCAGATCCAGTGGCTTGAAAATCATGCTGGGTATGTGTGTGTGCTTGGCTAAGATCTTAGGAGGAGAATGAAGGAGGGAGAATTGCAGCATGGCCACCCCCTCACCAGGGGGTGATTTCTCACTTTCTCTCTCACAGTCTCTGTCTCTCTCTCTGGCAAGCACATACACCTTAAGGCAAAAAGCTCTTTAAGAAAAACAGTAACAGAAAAATGTTGGTCAAATGATACAAAATGTCAGTTAGATAGGAAGAGTAAGTTCAGGAGATCTATTGTAAAACATGGTGACTGTAGATTTAAGTATATGATGTAGTGAAAACTGCTAAGAAAGTAGATTTTAAAGGTTCTCACCACACACACAAAAAAAGTACTGCTTTAATATCAGAAACTAAAGTGGTAATGGATATGTTAATTTATTTAATTTTTCCACAGTGATACAATGATCAAAACACCATATTATGCCACTTATATATGCAATTGTGTCAATAAAAATAATAAAATTTTAGGAAGTACTATTAGAAAAATAATCAAATGTTACTCAGATTGGTTTTGTCCTTAGAATCCCAGAATATTCCATAGAGATAAAACCCAATATCAATCAATTATTAAGTCATTCAACAAGCGTCCAATCTAATATCCTCAACTTTGAAAAGAAACTAAGGCATAGGAAAGTTAAGTGACCCCAAACGCATTGCGTGTTATAGCCAAGTTTTGAACCTGAAAATCCTGACCCTTCATGCAATGTTCTTTCCATCAGACTCTGTTGTCAGAATTGAAGCAGCCAGTATCTGTGTGTATAAAGTTTGCGTTGGGCTAGGCTGAAGCCATATTATGAAGGGAAAGATTATTCAAAATGTTCCTTATTTTCCATTGTTTTCCTGCACCCTGTCTTATGCTTAGCAGATTCTGATTGTGATGTATGAAATACAGGCAGGAGAGAGGATGGCAGGAAAGAATCTGTTGATAAATCTGTTGTCAACTTTCTTAGCTCAGTCAGGTCAGACTTGGAATCAGGGGTGGGAACAGGTTTTAATTTTCATTTTTGCATACTTTCATAGAGGTTTATGCATTTTTACTCTATGCTCATAATAACACATGCATAAGTTTTATGAGAAACTACTAAATTAATGAAAGATGAAAGTATCGTTACTTAGTAGGGTGCCAGTGGTAGCCTGCTGGTTAAGATGGCTGGATCCCACATGGGTGATCAGGTCTGTGTCCTGGACCTGATGGCTAGAAAAACATCTGAGCACATGTGCGTGTGTGTGTCCAAAATCCTAAGAGAAGAATGGCGAAGGGACTGTGTGTGGTGTGGTTATCCCCTCTGGGGAGTAATTTCTCACTTTCTCTGTCTCTGTCTCTCTCTCTCTGTATTTCTCTTCTCTGTCTCCAGCATGCACATGCACCCTCTAACAAAACTTAAAAAAAGAAAAGGTACCTAATAGGTATCCAATAATTTTTGTTAAGTATGAATCTGAACTATTGCCACTATAATGAATAAAAAGCTCTTTTTTAATTTCAGAAGAAAATAGTGAAAAAATCTATGAAGATGTGTACAAAACAAAGAGCAACCACCCAAAGATAGAGTGAGTTTCTCTCTTTCGTAGCTTTGTAAGCTAATGGTATTTAGTTACTCTTAGTAAACCTATAGTTTAAGAAACAATCCCCTGATGTTTACCATCATCCTTGTGGGAAGAGTCACATAAATAGTGCTAATAAGCTATTGTATTACTACATCATGATTAATTGGCTACCTGTATTTACGTCAATCATGTCCTATAATTTTTAAATCATTTTGCTTTCTCTGTTTGGAAATGTCTATCTCCTAGAGGAGAGGACTTGGAAATCGTGTTAGGAAATCAGTGAGAAAGAAGAAATAAATTGCTTCAATTACATAGTTGCTTTCTCAGAAACAGATCAATGTTTATGACTTAACTATATCTTTGCAAGTTAGTAAGGCTGTCACTGGTATTTGGACTTAATTTAATAATTTGTAATTCAGTGTTACCAAGAATAAAATTTGTTTAAATGGGCATCATTTGCTGAGTTTAGTTATTAGGGACACATTGCAGAAAGGAAAACAGCAATGGTAGAAAGAAATTTGAAGGCTGGAGACGGAGGAGATGCTGAGCTAGGCATGCTAGGTAAGATGATACGGCTATATCACGCTTTGCCCCTGCTTCCCCCCAAATGGGAAGAACTTAAATCATCTACTGGGCAGTCAATGTATTACCATGGTTTATCATTCAGTAAATTAAACATCAGTGATGTGAATTTCAGGAGCCAGGGATTCCTACAATGTACTTCTAGTACAATTTGTAAACTATCCTTCCTTGAGTTATTTTCCCCCCTAAAGGAAGACTTTGCTTCAAAAATTCTGAGAAAGAGAAACTATTTGGAGTATTGAAAGTTGGCGCTGAAATAAATCACTCTCTTTAGAGTCGACTGGTGTGTGATGTGCTATTTCATGTCCGAATCTAAACAACGAAGAAAAATATAAAAGTTGAAAATGCATTTTCTTGCTCTTCCTTGAGTGGGATGTTTGGAGAGGAGACTGAAGACTGGTCCTTTTTCATACAACAGCCTTTCATTTCTACTACTCTCAAGCACAATGTTACTTATATCCTCTGATTCTTCTTAGTTTAGATGGGAAAAAAGCACTAAAGAGACTGCAACGATTCTTCAAAAAAGAAAAGGATAGGTTTAAAATGAAGAAAACCAAGTCAAAAGAAAATGTAAGGTAATAAGTCCTTTTTAATCTCTCTTTCCAGGAGAGAATGAACAGTGCTGGCGTGGTAGATGTAGTGGTTGATGTTCTCTATCCACTTCTCAGAAACAGTGAAGGGGTATCAGAAACTAAAACTGAAGACCTGGGCTTTCACCTGCCTCCTCCTGTCTAATTTTTGTGTGAACCACACTCACAGACACTAGTGGGAAAAAGACACAGTCCTTTTGAAAACAGTTATGAGAAAGAGTTGTACACAATGGTGGAGGGGAAGTCTTAAGCAAAATCCAGAATAAATACTTCTGTCATCATCCTTGGCATTTTATCTCTAAGCATTGTTATTGTATGTGCTTATACTTTCTTAGAACTATAAATTCTAGTGGTTTTGGCTACACCTTCGTATTTAATTTGTTTCCCTTGGGAGCAGTGATGTGTGGGGAAATGAACTATTTAATTGAATGGTTAGTGTGTCTCAAAGTCTTAGACCTAGAAAGAACCCTCCCAGATAACCTAGGTTAACGGCCAGTCTTTGGGGGAGTTCCTGAATACACCAATGAAAAGGAATGCGGGGGGTGTGGGGCTATATTTTAGACTTGACTTTAGGTTCTGCCATTTATTCAGGGTGTTACCGTGGGCAGATCACTTCCTTCTAGGGTCCTAGTTTCCTCTCTCATGCAATGGAAAGGGATGGGGTTAGTCCCTGGAGACATTTCTCTAACAAACAGATATAGATATGCAGATACATTCAAAGAGCTGTATTTTACAAGGGTAGGGAATGGTAAAATAATTTGACCGAGGGCATGACAAGTATTGGCATGGAATTATATTACTGTACCCTGAATTTCTTTTCAATTACAAAGCTTCAAAGTCTTGTGATTTGTAAGCCTAATAGTCTGTTGGATCTAGATCTACTAAGGGATCTGAAATAAATGAGGTTTGTAAATTGTCGTCCTGATTATGGAAAGGAGGAAGTTTCCCTTCTGTGGTCAGTGAGGACCTATGGCAAAGGCAGTCCCTGGCCTTAACAGGTAAGCTGCTCTTTGACTAAAAATTATTGGCATAATAGACTCTAAATATTGGTCCTGATGAGAATGCTAGTGTTTTTAAAAAACGCAAATCTGATTTTCTATTTCTTAAAATTACTCAGTGGCCACTCATTACAACTTTCAGGAATGGAGCTGGCAGGGGGCATGGTGGTTAAGGGCGTTGGACTCCCACATGGCTGATCAGGGTTTGAATCCCGGACCTGGTGACTTGCTTTCTCACTCCTCCCTGCCCCTCACTCTGTCCCTTTCTGGTCAAATTAAAATCAATCAATCAAGTTAAATAATTCTTTTAAAAAGAAAACAAGTTTTAGGACAAATATCAATCTATTTGCATGGCAAGTAAGGCAGCCTTACTTTCTACTCCTCTAGTTTGCAACTCAAATTCACTGTCACCACCATGGCATACACAGGCCTGCATATCCTAGACTCGCTTCAGTGCTTCACATCTCCTCACTTTGAGCAGGACATTCCCTGGTCTGGAAATGCAGCTGCTCTTCTCCAATTTTCTTTGATTATCAAAATTTTAGTTTCCCCTCCAAATTTGGTCAAATACTATCTCTTCTTGGATACCCCTGAACCTCTCTGCCCAAACTTGGATTACCAGTCTCTCTTTTGTGTTTCCAAAATATTCCACACACCCTGAGCTATTCTCCTTGCCCTGCTCCGTGGCACTTAGTTCATGTGCTTCCTTAAGTGATTCAACATGAATTTCCTTATTTTTCTGTGTACCCTCATTTTACTAATGTCCATGAGGTCAGAGATTTTTTTTTAAGAATTATTTATTTCTTTAATTCCATTTGTTATTTTTTAATTTGACCAGAGAGAGAGAGAGAGAGACAGAGAAAGGGAGAAAGCAACCTTGAATTTGAACTATGGATGGCCATGTGGGAATCCAGCACCTTAACCACCATGCCACCTGCCGGCCCTGATTGCAGAGATTTTGACTGTTCTGTCTACTGCAGTATCTCTAGTGAAGAAAACTGTGCCTGGGGAACCAGCAGTTAGCGTAATGGCTACGTCACTGGACTCCCACATAGTTGACCGCGGTTCGCGTCCCGGATCCGGTGGCTTAAAACTCACACCAGGCGCGTGTGCGTGAGTGCCCAAGATCCTGAGAGGAGAATGAAGGAGAAGGGATTGTGGCATGGCCATCCCCCCTGGGGGGTGATTTCCCGCTTTCTGTCTCTATGTCTCTGTCTGGCAAATGCACGCCCCCTATAGCAAAAATCTCTCAAAAAAAAAAAAAAAAAGAAAAGAAAGAAAACTGTGCCTGGGACATAGTAAACACCCAGTAAGGATCTGTTAAGTGAATAAGTGATACAGAGGGAGGAAACATCATCCTAGATGTTTTGGTGGCCTGCGTTTCCATGTTAAAACAATAGCTACCAGCACCCTGACCCAGTTAGCAGGGAGGAAAGGAACAGGTGTTAAGAAGGGCTTCCCTGAGCAAGTGTCTCTGTGCAGCAAAGCCAAGGACAAGTGCTAACTAGGTGCCAAACACTGGGAAGACACTCAGTACTTCCCTTGTTTTGGTTTTTGCTTGGATTTTTTTTTTTTTAGAGAGATTTTTGCTAAAGGGCTTTTGTGCTTACCAGAGAGACAGAGAGAGAGAGAGACAGAGACAGAAAGTGAGAAATCACCCACGTAGAATGAAGGGGGAGAGAGCCACACCGCAATCCCTTCTCCTCTCTTCTCCTCTCGGGATTTTGGGCATGCACATACATGTTCCTGGCATGAGTTTTAAGCTGCCAGGTCTGGGACTCGAACCACAGTGGACTATGTGGAAGTCCGACAACGTAACCATTATGCCATCTGCTGCCCTCCCCCCAATGTTTTTGTCTTTAATATTCACAGCAATCCAGGAGTTAGAAACCTGTTCCTCCACTTTACATAAAACATGTACATGACTTGCCCAGGATCACAGAGAAGGTGGAACTGAAGTCAGATCGTCTGACTCTGATGGCCGTGTGTTTTCTTCTCTGCCCCCATGCATATTCACAGTCTCTACAGTATCTAGTCTGGTCTTACAGCGGGGACCACTGAGCCCCATCCTGTCCAGGCACATTCACTTAGATACACTCATACAGTCCCAACAGTAACCCTGTAATATAGGTGCTGACTTAGAAATGAAGAAGCCGAGGCTCATACAATCGTTAAAATGCTTTCCCTAAAGTTCTCTTCCTTTGGACATTCCTTTATTATATTATTGTTACAATATGTTGTATTGATTTATTTTTGGTCTCCTTTATTAAGCTCTAAGGCATTTCAAGACTGATTATTTTGTATGCCCAGCCCAAGAGCCTGGCCTGGTATCTATAGGACTAAATTTAAATGCCTGAAATATGTGGCTATTTTTTTTCTTACCATGTTATACTTCCTCATCTGTGTGATCAGAACAAAGCTGCCAGAGGTTTGCTTCGCATCTTTAGCATATGTGTTAGGACAACTAGTCATTAATATGTTATTTAAGAGGTATCAGCAAATCTTTCTGAACATGGTGTTTTTTCTTAACTTTCTGTGTCGTTTGTCAATCAACAGTGCATTTTCCATCTCGCTGCCTGATTTACGTAAGTGACCTCTGTTTATTGCCAAATAAAAATATTCAGCATTGATATATTCAGGGGCAGGGAAAGAGAAATACCACTCGCATTCTCAGATTTAATGAAAACTCAATTCATTAAAATCAAAGAAGGGATTTTACACAGCAGTATTTCTTACTTTGAGAAAGATGAATACTATTTCTCAAGTACTTACTGTATACCATGCACTGAGGTAAATGTCTTCTTTAAATCCTTAGAGAAATAGATGTTATCATACTTTTTTAGGGGCCACCTAAGATCCATATCCATACTTGAATGATCTGGAATTTGTATCCAAGTCTCTCTGTGAAATTCATACATTTTTCATTACACCAGATAGCCTCTTAAAGGTTTGAGAGCCAGATCACCCTACGGCATAGTAAGCTGAATGTGATCATGCAGCCTGCCAACTAATTGAATCTAGGACGGGTCATTGGGATGTTACTGGCTTTGCCTTTAAGACAATAGCACAAACATTAGCGCAGTGCGACAACGGTGGTATGCTCTCTCTATGTGGTATGCTCTCTCTATGTGGTAAATAAATTGAATTTGTCAGTGAAAAGGGGCCATTTGCTTTTTTGTGCATTGTTTTTTCTTTACGGGCTCAAGCCAAGGGGCGAATTTGATTTCATTCTGACTTAAAATTCAAATGTGCATATTTATTTCACAAACACAAATTCGCTGAACTCTAAATAACAAAGATGATATCTACCTGGAAAAATCACAGGTTTCCTAACATAGCCTTGGTTTGTGTTAAAAAGAAAAAGGCATATGAGTAGGAATATGAAGAGTCTTCAGAAAGTTCAGAAAATTTTATGAAAAAAACTATACACAGATTTGAGAAGTTTTATCTGCATTAAAATAAGTCGTACTTTAATTCTATTTTTTATGAACTCTTTGAAGTCCCTATGGACACTGAACCCCCATCTAAATTTAAAGGCATTGAAAGACTAACTAAAGCAACAAATAATTATAAATAATTGAATATAAGTCATGACTCATTATGCAAGAAGGTGTCAAACTCGTTCAAATGATGAATCATCTAAAAATCATGTAATTCTATGGATAGCACTAAGGAATGTGAAATCCTAAACTGAATATGTCTAATTATAGTTATGTACTAAGTCAGATTCAATATTATCAAGATTATTATAAAAGAACAGTTGCTAAAGGTTTGAAATAAAAACCATGAAAGGGGAAAAAAATCAACATCAATCTATTAAAATGATTTTTCTCTTTGGGAATTCCAAAAAACCTCTCTTAGTCTTGCGATATCTTTGTTCAACTACAGAAAGATGGTGGCCAGTCTAAAAATCATTCTTTTAGCATCTCAGTTTCCTAGAACTTTTCATGAAATCTAATTGTATGAACACATACTCATATCAGAGACACTAGGATATCTCATTATTTAATTCTTCAGTTTAACTTCTTCCCAAATGAAGAATCATTTTGTCCCTTGATCTTTCTGGACTATCTGTAGTCTATAATCAGATTTTGATTAAAAACAAACAAATAAAATCAAAAAACACAAACAAAAAAAATAGCCTTGGGATGCCCTGGCTAGTTAGGTTAATTGTGTATAAATATGGAAAACTAAACCATACCTAATAATGGACTGTTTTCATCCTCTTTTGACCTTAGAACTTAGGTCTCAGGAAGTTACCATCTATGACGATGTCGACATGAGTGAAAAAGAATCAAAGTAAGTCAAATGACCATGTTGGTCATCCCTGTTGATATTTGACTCATTTCCTGATGTTTTGTTAAGTTAGAGAGCTATATTTCAGATCCTTGGAGACTAGGTGAAAAGTCAATTTCAGGTATTCCCCCCAATAAGACTATGTTATCTAGCAATAACATAAGTGATCCAACGACAGTAGATTCAAAAGGCATTTGAGCTGTGTTTTTTATTATTATTTTTAACAATTTTTTGAGAGCTTTTTGCTATAGGGCACGTACGCTCTCCAGAAAAACATAAAGAAAGAAAGAGAGACAGAAAGTGAGAAATCACCCCCCCAGGAGAAATGGCCACACCACAATCCCTTCTCCTCTTGGGATCTTCGGCACGCACAAACCCATACCCGATGTGAGTTTAAGCCACCTGGTCCAGGACCCAACCGCAGTGGACTACATGGAAGTCCAGTGACATAGCCATTACAGCAACTGCTGGTCCCTGTTTTTAGCAAATTTTATTGTGTATACTTATGTATACAACATGTTCTTATTTATGTATGTATGGTAAAATGGATTATAGTGGAACAAATTAACATATCCATCACCTCACACAGTTACTCACATTTCCCCTTGTGGCAACAGGAGCTATAATCTACTTATTTAGCAAAAGTTCTGGATACAATATGGTATCATTAACTATATCATTAACTATAGTCCTCATGTTGTACACTAATTTTTTGGTTTTTGTTTTTTGTTTTCTATTTTGTTTTTTTTTTTTTTTGTCAGAGGACGTGTGCACTCACCAGAGAGGGAGAAAGCACTCCTCAGTGGAGCATGGTCACACCATAATCCCTTGTCCATTTATCCATCCTGCTGGGATTTGAGGCATGCACACACAAGTGCCTGATGTATTTTTCAAGGCACTGGTGTCTAGAATTGAATCGGCCATGTGGAATCTGGCTCGATTAACCACTAGGCTGTGGGGTCAGCTCTGTATATTAAGTCTTCTGATTTATTCATCATCTATATTTGTGACTGTGCAGCTTTTGAGCTATTGTACATTTCCCTATTTCCTCCCCACCCCGCCCCCACATCAGACCCTGGTAACCACTGTTTTATTCTCTGTCTCTATATATTTGACCTTTCATTTTTAATTTTTTTTTAGATTCCATGTATAAGTGAGATCATACAATACTTTTCTTTTTGTGTCTAACTTATTTTACTTAACATAGTATCCTCCAGAGCCATCCATTATTCTTTCCTTATATGCTCTTTAGTGACTTCATACAAACACACGCAATTTCTTTATCCATTCTCTCACTCGTTCAGTGTTCATTCAATACGTAGGTTGGTTTCATGTCGTGGGTATTATGAACAATGCTGCAATGAACACAGGAGAGGAAGTATCTTTATGATGGAGTAATTTTATTTTCTTAAAATATAATGCCCAAAAGAGGGATTGCTGGGCCATACAGTAGTTCCACTTTAATTTCTCAAGGAACTTCCACACTGTTTTCCATGATGGCTACCCCAATGTACATTCCTTGAGTGTATAAGGGTTCCCTTTTCTCCACATCCTTGCCACACGTAGGTCTTTTTGACAATAGGATACTAACAGGTGTGAGATGGTATCTCATAATGGTTCTGATTTGCACTTTTGGAATCTGCTTTTGTTTCTTATCTTTGAATCTAGACACTTGAAACTCATTTCAACACCTTTATTTAATAACCTTCTGTGTATAAAGCATTGAGGAAGATGATAAGGAGTATTTGACAGAACTGTTGTTTTCAAAGACTAAATAGCTGTCATCTGTCAATAAAGAAACTATCCTGGGACCAGCAGTTTGCATAATGGCTATGTCGCTGGACTCCCATGTAGTCGACGGCGGTTTGTGTCCTGGACACAGTGGCTTAAAACTCACACCGGGCACGTGTGTGTGCATGCCCAAGATGCCGAGAGGAGATGGGAGGAGAAGGAATTGCGGCGTGGCCATCCCCCCTGGGGGGTGATTTCTTGCTTTCTGTCTCTCTGTCTCTCTGGCAAGTGCACACGCCCTAAAGCAAAAACCTCTCCAAAAAAAAAAAAGAAAGAAAGAAAGAAACTATCCTTAAACTCAATGCCCCATTCACTAGCTACTTGTTACCTGTCCTTTTCCTCTCAATGGCTTAAAATAAAGGTCACTTCTGCTTCTCTCTGATTCATCTTTCCCCAGTCACTGCAAGTGGGCTTCTGTTTCTATCATACCATGAACTTATTTTTGGTAAGGTCACAAATAACTCCTTTATTAAATCAAGTGAATACTTTAAGTCCTTATCTTACTTGGTTTCTCTATAACATCTTAAACTGTGCCATCCTCTAAAGGGGAAAAAATATTAGCTTTTCCCTAGGTATTCATATTATTATTAAAAAAAAAAAATCCTATAGGGCACATGTGCTTCCTGGAGAGAAACAGAGCGAGTGCACACCGCTGGCATGGTCACTGCAGTCCCCCTTCCTCCATTCTCTTCTTGGGATTTTGGACATGTGCATGCCTAAAACATGTCCAACATTTCCAGGTTGCTAAGTTCAGGACTCAAACTGCACATTTGGCCATATGGAATCCAGCCACCTTAACAACTGCACCAGCTGGCTGTTACGTATCATTTCTTAGTCTCATCTTTGACTGTTCTTCCTAAATGGCTTTTGTTTTCTGTGTTTTTCTGTTTTATTTTGGTTTTGGTGAGTTCTAATTTTTCTATCTGAAGAAACACACCTTAATGTGTTCCTAAGATTTTCCTATGTGAGTTCTCTTCTATTCTTCCCTTATATGATCTTCTTGAATGATCTTATGCACACCCAGACTTCAGTTATGTTATGATGATAATATAGTAATTTACATTTTGAGGTCAGATTTCTCTTCCAAACCTCTAATAAGCCTGCTAGATAATTCTGTCTGAAACACAGAACATAACACATAATGTTAACCCTTCTCATCCATATCCTGCCTCTTTCCTTCTTGCCTCTCTGTTGGTGATTGCTTCAGTAAACTCGATTTCACAAACCCAACCCCTAGATGTTACCTGTGACTCCTCCGCCTCTCATGCACTGCGCTCTCCACGGCTCTGTTCCAGTAACTCTCAATCCATCCTGCTTCTCCCACCCCACTGTGAAGTCACCACTCAGGTCCTCATTGTTTCTCCAATGGGATTGCTTCCCAACCTCTCCCTGAATGGACATCTTGCCTCCACTTGATTTTCCAAACTATCTAAAGTGTAAATGTGATGATATTACAGAACTGCCTGTTCAGAAATGTAGTGTTGAATGGTTGCCATAGAGACAGTATGGCTTATAAAACCTAAAATATTTATTATATGGCTTTGCCATCTAAAAGATTTACTATCCTCTATGGTCTTGCTATAGATTAGCAAAATGTATTTCTTTTTTTAAAAAGAATTATTCATTCAATTTTATTTATTCATTCATTTTTTTAATTTGACCAGAGAGAAACAGAGAGAGAGAGGGAAAGTGAAAAAGCAAACCTCCAGGCCTGAGACTCGAACCGTGGTCATCCATGTGCGAGTGTCCAGCGCCCTAACCACTATGCCACCTACTGGTCCTGATTATCAAATGTATTTCTAGATGACATCTTAATATTTTTTATAAAACATAATTGCTCAGATGGTTGATGTTTCCACAAATGTTTAATAGTCAGACTTAATGTATGTATTCAAAATATTTTCTCCACAGAGATGAAGATAAAGTGAAAACTTGGAAGCCAAAGTTCTTGATACCAAAAGAAAAAAAAGAGAAAAAAGGTGCTGAAGGATCAGACAGGTAGGAACTGAGGTGTACTTCCATTATAGCATATCTGCTGTAATGTACACCCCTTACTAACTGTGTAACTGAAGTAAGTCATTAGATTTGATTCTCAGGTGCCTCATCAACACAATGAGCATAATAATGCCTATGACATAGTACAACTGAGAGTCTTAAAAGAGAATATGAGGGACCAGCAGATGGTGTAATGGTTAGGTCACTGGACTCCCACATGGCCGACCAAGTTTGAGTCCCAGACTCAGAGGCTTGAAACCCATGCCAGGCACATGTGTGTGTGCACCCAAAATCCTGTGAGGAGAATGGAAAGGGACTACAGCGTGGCCATCTGCCCTGGGAGGTGATTTCTCACTTTCTATCTCTCTGTCTCTTGAGTGAACACATGTGACTTATAGCAAAACTCCCTTTTTAAAAAAAGGAAAAAAAGAGAGAAAATATGAAAATGCTATTTACATACACATTTATCTTCATCATCATCTTTCCTAGTTTTGGGAAATGACGAATGAGGAAATATTTCAAGTCGATCCTTACCAAATAATGAAAAATTCCCAGTCTTCTTTTAGGCTATATGAACTTTTCCCTGACAAGATAGAACTAAAATAAAACAGCAGGTAGAATTCAAATGAAATCTTGAGAAAACAGAAACTAAGTATTGCATAGTAAGACTGATTTCCCTATAATGCAATATAATTCTAGTTATAACTACAACTGGTGCTAGAATTTCTTTCCAGTATAGAGTAAATATTTTAGATGCAAAGCTATGTAATATTTGAGGTTTTATAAGTTGTACTGTCTCTATGGCAACTATTCGTCTCTACTGTTACTACTTTGTTTACAAAAACAAGTGGCAAGCCATGTTTGGCCCACATACCATGGTTTGCTGACCCTGATCTAAAATCAGAAGCAAGAGATGCAGCTTTAGGGTACGTGTACTTGGGGAGAGATAAATCACCTCCCAAGGAGAATGACCATGGCATTTGGGGCACCCTCGCACATACACACTTGGTATGATTTTCAAGCCCCAGGTCCAGGACTTGATCTGTGCACTTGGCTATGTGGGATACAGCTGACTTAATCTCCATGCCACTTGCCAGCCCTATGTTAAGTTTTTAAAATAGTATTTTATCAACTCAGTATCAAACTTTGTTCACGTGATTCCAGTTTGCCGTTGGCTGTTGGGGAGATAATGTTTTGCGCTGGCTCAGATGGTTACTGGTGCTCCTTGCTCCAGTCTCTTCAATTGCTAGGTCATGGAGCTGGATGTGAGGTCCTTTCCTGAAGAAAATATCTTGAGGGAAATTCTCATCTAAATAGCTGCTGAACTGTGAACACTGTGTGGTCAGTCTGTTCTAGGAAAAAAACCAAGTATCATCTGTACCAAAGGTAAACTCACAGGATGGCATAGGACGGTCCTTCCCTTAAGTTTATCTTCTTTAGGTGTAGACTTGATGCCATTTATTTTTCCCAAGTTGGAAAGATGTGTTCACAGACTAGAAAAGCAACTTTCTACCTTAAATTCTGTAAGTCTGTACAGCATAACAAAATGGAATTTCAAGAAGGAAAATATTCATAAAGTTTTTTTTACTGCCTCTGAAGATTTTTAATATATTGATGACTACAAATCTGTCTTTTTTTAAAAAACAATCGTCCAATGCTTTTTAAATTTTTTACAACAAACTTATATCATACTATACTTTTATTCTCAGCTCAGCAAATTTAAAAATGTGATTAAAAGGCTATCATTATTCCTACAGATTCCTATATCAGTTCCTATGTGCTCTTTCATCCTTTTAAAATAGTTAATGCCATAACTTATTTTTACCAATAAGTAATGAAAGCTTCCTCAGTTTCAAACCTTTTATTATGCCTTTGTTAATTAAAGATAAGAACAAGTTTTCTTTTTCTTTCTTTTTTTTTCATATAGAGCTTTGCTACAGGGCATGTACGCTCAGTGTAATCATTATGCCATTTGCTAATACTTCCCCAAGTTTTCTTGAAAACTTGTCATCATTGGGGACTAGCAGGTGGTGTAATGATTGCATTGCTGGACTCCCAGAGTCGACTGCGGTTGAATCCCAGACCCAGTGACTTAAAACTCACACAATGCACATGTGTGTGCATGCCCAACATCCCAAGAAGAGAATGGAGGAGAAGGGACTGTGGCATGGCCACCCCCCACCAGGTAGTGATTTCTCACTTTTTGTCTGTCTCTCTGGAGAGTGTACATGTCCTATAGCAAAAATCTCTATTAAAAAAAAAAAAAGAAAGAAAGAAAAGAAAAAAAAAAAACAACTTGGGGAAGGGTTTCCCAAGTACAAAGGCATGGGAAAAAAAATCCCACCTTCTAAAACTCTCAAGCAGACATTGTATGTGTGGGTGGGGGAAAGGGCACCCTATAAAGTTGAAAGGCAGAATGGGGCCAGATTACGCAATGTCCTCTGTACCATGCTAACAAAATTTGACTTAATCCTGTAGGCAGTAGAGAGACATTGGAAGGTTTTAAGCAAGAGAGTAAAAATGCTCAGGTACATTTCAGAAAGATGACACTGGAAGCAGGTATGCAGATGAGTTCAAGGCAGGAGAGGCAAGACGGTATTTCAAGAAGTGATACTCTGAAATATGGCAGTGGCTATTATCTTAGAAAGACTGAAACAGATCTAGGAAACACTTCCGAATAAAAATGACATAAATGGGTTGACCTTTTTCCTTCTGTCAATATATTAAGCTGCTAAGAAGGAGGACCAAACCCCATGTGAAGAACAACAGAGGAGCAGAGGAATGTGATCCGCTTCTGCTGTAGTGTCATCTACTTTTTTTTTTCTTTGCTAGAGTGTGCACATTCATCAGAGAGAGAAGGGCAAGGAGAGAAGAATGTACCCCCAGTGGGGAATGGCCATGCTGCAATGCCTTCTCCTCCATCTCTCTGTTCTCTGGAGATTTTAGAAATGCACATGTATGCATCCAGTGTGTTTTTCAATCCACTGGGTCTGGAACTCAAACTGCAGTCAACCATGTGGAATCCAGCTACCTTAACCACCAGACCACAGAACCAGCAAGTTACTCAGTTGCTCATGCTTTCTTTTACATGTTCTGTAGCATCTCGTTTTATTTTTAAATTCTATATTTCCATTATTAAAATTTTATTCATCTCCAAAATTTTTCAGCAAATAAGATGGTTCTTTAAACCACATAGATTTGTGAGTCCACAGTTAGAATTTGAAAACTTGGAAAAAATACAAAATGTAAGCCCCTTCCTCATTCTGTTTTCTGTTAAATAATCTGAAGGTGAACGAGAAGGCTTATAAATTTCCTTAAGGTATTTTTTTAAGTCAATCATGTTTCTAAAAGTAATAGAAGTCCATTTACCTTAAATTGTTTAACCAATGTGATTTTATTCCAAATTATTATCTACTATCAAAAAATTTTATAACTCTTGTACATAAATCTATTTATTTATGTTAATATGACCAGAGAGGGACAGAGCAAGAGTGAAAGAGAGAGAGAGAGAGAGAGAGAAATAGAGAAAGTGAGAAAGCAAGCCGCCAGGTCCAGGACTCAAACCATGGTTGGCATGTGATAGTCCAGTGCCATCAACCACCATGCTACTTGCTGGCCCCTCAAAAATATTTTTTCTAAAACTGTGGGTAAAGTAACTATAATAGTATTACTAATCCTGTTCAACTTTTTACAGTCTTTTCATTGAAGGTATATTTGTGTATGTATGTATATAACATTCATGTGTATATACACATGTATATTAATATTTTATATAAAATAATATACAAATGAAATTACACTGAATTTATTCTGAAAAAGAATGGCTTTGTAGACTTAAGCCATGTACATATTTCTTGCCAGTTTATCTCCTAGAAATTTTTTCAGAACCAAGAAGCAAAATTTAGAGAAGAACAGAATGGAAAAAGAGGAAAAACTTTTTCGAGAAAGCTCTGAGGTATGTTCTCTTTTGAAGATAAAAATAATTAATACGAACAAATCAGAGCTCTTACGTGTAACTTGTGGCATTTTTATTATTATTTTCTTACATGACTTTTACCACATACTTTCCTATTTATTGTCTATTCTTTCGATATTATTTTATCTAGCATTTTGAGTTTGTTCAAAAGTTGTATGTCCAGGGAACCAGCAGTCAGTGTAATGGCTATGTCGCTGGACTTCCACGTAGTCAACCACGGTTCACATCCCAGACCCGGTGGCTTAAAACTCACGCCGGGCGCGTGTGCATGCGTGCCCAAGATCCCAAGAGGAGAATGGAAGAGAAGGGATTGCGGCGTGACCACCCCCCCTGGGGGGTGATTTCTCGCTTTCTGTCTCTGTCTCTCTCTGTCTGTCTGGCAAATGCATGCGCCCTGTAATGAAAAACCTCTCCAAAAAAAAAAAAAAGTTGTATGTCCATTAATGTTGTTATAATAAAGGGGAACAACATCTACGCAAGCATGGTCTGATTAGTATTTCTTATTTCAGTATGACAAGGAGATTATTGTCATCAACACAGCAGTGGCATGTTCAAATAACTCAAGAAATGGAACATTTGATTTGCCAATAACCCCTGGAGAAGTACTGGAAGTCATTGATACCACTGAACAAAATCTAGTGCTATGTCGCAATTCTAAAGGCAAATGTAAGTTCATTGGCTTATCACTCATAAAATTCCAATCATTTTTATTAAAAAAGAAAACTTAAAGCATGTTCTCTGTAAGTTTCTTGTTAGTAATAGTGACTTTTGTTTCTACAGATGGATATGTACTTGTTGAACATCTAAATTTCAAGTAAGTGGTTTGATTTTATACTTTAAAAACACATTATTCTGTACATTAACCTCAAAGACAATTTTTATTTTTAACAATTAAGTCAAGGATATTATCTCATGTATCAATAGAAAATTTTACATTCTTGGGTCTGTTAGGTATTTCTTCCCTTTACCCCTCCCAACCACTCTCTGCCATCCACTCCCCTTTCTTACAGACTCTGGTATTGAATTTATTCCTCCTTATTATCATATTTTTGGATTTTTTTCATTTCTGCCATAGAAGGCAGACATTTGGTATATACTGAGCAGGAAGATATGATGTAAGTCTTTCAAAGTCTGGCTTACTTGGCTTAGCAGTAACTTTGGGTCAAATGACAGTGTCTCATTGTTTCTTATGTCTGAATAGTATTCTGGAGTATAGATGTGCCACGATTTTTCAACCCAGTCATCAGTTCTCAGGCACTTAGGTTGATGCTATATGTCTTTGCAAGTGCAAATGATGCTGCAATAAACATGGAAGTGCAAATATTCTTCTGCCTGAGTGTTTTCCAATCCTTCGGGTAAATACCAAGGAGTGTGATTGCTGGGTGATACAGTAATCATATTTGTAGGGTTTTGAGGAACCTCCATATGGTTTTCCATATGTGGCTGCACCAATTTACATTCCTACTAACAGTATAGAAAGGTTTCCTTTTCACCACAGCCTCGCTGGCACTTTATTTTTCTGTTCTGTTTATTTTATTGTTCTCTCTTTCTCTCTTTTTAATCATAGCTATTCTGCCTGGGGTTAAGTGGTTATCTCATTGTGGTTTTGATTTGCATTAACCCTGTGATAAGGGATGTTGAACTTCTCTTCATACATATTTTGCCATTTGCATGTCTTCCTTAGAGAGTCATCTATTCAGCTCACTTGCCCATTTTTTAATTATATATATTTTTTTCTTATGAGTGAGTTTCTTGAGTTTCCTGTGTATTCTGGTTATCAACCTTTTATCTGAAGCATAATTTGCACATATTTTCTCTCATCTATGCGTTTTCTCTTCATTCTATTTATTGTTTCCTTTGCTGAGCAGAGGTTTTTAGTTTGATGTAATCTCACTTGTTTATTTTGGGGATCATTGCCTGTCCTTTAGAGGTCTTACTAAAGAAATCATCACATACTCCAATATCCTCAAGAGTTTCTTCTGAGATTTCCACCAATAGTTTTACAGTTTGAGGTTTGATATTTAAATCTTTGATCCCCTTTTGAGTTGATTTTTGCAATGGTGAGGGATTGGGGTCCACTTTTATTTTTCTGCAGGTGGATATCCAGTTCTTCCAGGATCATTGCTGTAAAGACTTTCTTTTCTCTATTGTCTTGTGCCCTTTGTTTAAGATCAATTAGTTGTATGTTTTGCATTTAATTCTGGATTCTCTGTTTTGTTACATTGGTCTATATGTCTGTTCTTGTGCCATGTTGTTTAATTATCACAGCTTTGTAAAATGTTTGGAGGTCAGGTAGTAAGATGTCTCCTATTTTATTTTTATTGCATAATATTGCTTTGACAACATGGGGACTTTTCATAATTCCAGATAAAATTTATGATTATTCCATTTCTATGAAAAATGTCACTGGTAATTTGGTCAGAACCACATTAAGATTGTGAATTTTTTAATTTGCTTATAAGGCACATTACTCACCAGAGAGAGAGAGGGAAAGCGAAAAAGCAAGCTGCCCAGGATTTGAACCAGTCAGCTATGTAGGACTTAACCACCACACTACTTGCCAAGCCCTCGTGGGTAGTTTTAAAGTCATTCAAGAGTAGGTTGTTTAGTTTTCATAGTTTTGCATATTTTTGAGGGTTCTTTATGTTGATTTCAAGTTTAATTCCATTGTGGTTGGGAATAGATGCTGGATATATCTTCTATACATTTGTAAAGACTTCTTTTGTACCCTACTATGTGGTCAATCTTTGAAAATGTTCTACGTGAGTATGAGAAAAAAGTGTATTTTGTCTTACCAGGTGAAATGTTCCGTAAATGTCTGTCATATCCAACTGGTTAATGCTATCAGTTAGCACTTGTGTCTCTTATATTTTGTCTAGATGTCTGGTGCTGACAGTGGGGTGTTAAAATTTACAACCACAGGACCAGCAGATGGTATAACGGTTATGTTGTTGGACTCCACATAGTTGACCATGGTTCAAGTTCCTGACCTGGTGGCTTAAAATTCATGCTGGGCACGTGTGTGTGCATACCAAAATCCCAAGAGAATGGAGAAGGGATTATGGTGTGGTCATCCACTCTAGGGGGTGATTTCTCACTTTCTGTTTCTGTCTGAGTGCATGTGCCCTATAGCAAAAATTACTCTTAAAAGAAAAAATTTCCAGGACCAGCAGTTAGTGTAATGGCTATGTTGCTGAACTCTCATGTAGTCGACCACGGTTCAAGTCCCGGACCCAGTGGCTTAAACTCACGCTGGGTGCGTGTGCGTGAGTGCCCAAGATCCCAAGAGGAGAATGGAGGAGAAGGTATTGCTACGTGGCCATCCCCCCTGGGGGGTGATTTCACGCTTTCTATCTCTCTGTCTGTCTCTATCTTTCTGGAGAGCACACAGGCCCTGTAGCACAAACCTCTCCAAAGAAAAGAAAAAAAAAAATTTCTACTCATTGATGTGTTGCAATCAATTTCTCCCATTAGATCTAGTAATCTTTCTTTTACACATTTGGATGCCCTTGTGTTGGGTGTATGGGTATTTGTAATTGTTTCATCTTCTTGGTGAATTAAATCCTTTTAATAATATGTAGTATACTTCTTTGTCTCTTTTTACCATTTTTATCTTGAAGTTTGTATTATCTGATATCAGTATTGTGACTCTTGCCTTTTTTGTTTGTATAAAATGGCTTTTTCCAGACCTTCACTTTCAGTCTATATACATCCTTACCAATGAGGTCTGTTTCTTGTAGCAACATCTAGAAGGTTCTGGTCTGTGCCTTTTAATTGTAGAATTTAATCCATCAACATTCAATGTTATTATCAATATGGTAGAAATCATCCCCATCATTTTGTTAGTAATTTTTTTTAAGTTGCTTTGTGGTCTCTTGTTTCTATTTGTCTCCCTATTGCTGGTGTAGTATTTCCTAAAAAGCCAGTCTAGTGTTGGAGAATTCTGTTGATGTGAGAATGATTTCACTTCTTACCATCTGAAAAATAATCTTGCTGGATATAGTAGTATTGGCTGAATTTATTTTCCTCTCCAGGTTTTAAATGTCTTCCCAATTCTTTCCTTGCCTGCACTGTTGCAGTTGAAAGGTCTGCAAGTCTAATGGAGTAGCCTTTGTAACTTGGCAATTCTCTCTTGCCACTTTAGAATATTGTCTCTTATTTTTAACATTTTGGCTATGATGTGCCTTATGGATCATATGTTGAATTTATTTGGTGTTCTTTGAAGTTCTTGGATGTGGATGCCTATATGTTTCTCTAGATTTGGAAAATTTTCAGAAAATATTTCATGAGAGTTTCTATGACTCCACCTGTTTCTTCATCTTCTGGAATATCCATTATGTGCATACTCTGCCGCTTAATGGTGTCTAGAATTTCCCATATGTTATCCTCATTTTTAATGGTTATTTTTACATTCTTTTTGGTGAACTGGACTAAACTGGAGGTTTTGTCTTCAGTGTCAGAGAACCTTTGTTCTACATAGTCTAATTTGCTGTTGATACTTTCCAAAGAAGTTCTGATGTCCTGTATTGTATTCTTCATCTCCTGAAGTTCTGTTTGATTCTCTTTATAGGGTGTCAATCTCTTTATGAACTTCCTCCTTCAGTTAATGAAACGATTCTTTCATCCCCTGAAATTAGTTATCCATTTTTCCCTTTCATCTCACGGAATTTGGTTACAATGAATATTCTGAAATCTTTTTCTGACATTTCTGTGACTTGTTTTTGTGTGTTCCATGGTTGGTGGGGACCTATTATAAGGTAATGTCTTTATCTTAAAGACATTACCTGGTTTTCTCACATTTCTAGGACTCATATTTCTCATATCTCATACTTCTGCAGATATATACTTATGTGCTTTTATACAGTGTATGTTAGTTAGTTCCATGTTAGCTTCCTTATTCTGTAGGTAGGAATGCTAGAATCCACAGTGAGAGTTTTGAGGTTTAGAATTTGAGTGGTGTTTCTCTTTTTCTACACTAGAAAAGAGGGTGGGGTGAACTGCTCCAGAGCCACAGTAACTTTACATGGTTGGCTTACCTCCCAAACTCTCTAGCCTTGATATGACTGGGAGCTGAACTGAGAAGGTGGAGCGTGAGGCAGCAGCAGACAACCTCTTACCTTGCTTTGGCTGTTTCGGTCAGAAGTGGGATGGTGAATGGCTCATTGACTGTATAGGAAGTCCCTTCCTTATTCTCTTCAACACGTGGGGTAGGATAGTGAATGGTCTGTATTTATTGAAATTAAGGGGATCAGCAGATGGCATAATGGTTATGTCGCTGGATTCCAACATAGTCAACCACGGTTCAAGTCCTGGACCCAGCAGTGTTAAACACACCAGGCACATGTGCGTGTGTGCCTAAAATCCTGAAAGGAAAATGGAGGTGAAGGGGTGGCATCGCTATCCCCTGGGGGATGATTTCTCACTTTCTGTCTCTGTCTCTGCAGTGAGCAAACATGCCTTAGAGGAAAAATCTCTCAGAAAAGAAAAAAAAAATTGAGAAGTTTTGAAAATTAGGACTCATTTCTTATATCCCGTATTTCTGTAGATGTATATTCTACAAGGATTACATTGGGAAAACTTTATTATTGTGTCTCCTGATGTTATCAAGCTTATCTATAGGGCATATGTATGAACATTTAAAAAGGGCATAAAAGCATAAAATTGGATAAGAAATTCCCCAGGAGGGCCAGCAGGTGGCATGGTGGTTAATGGCACTGGACTCCCACATGATGGACCGTGGTGTGAGTCCTAGACCTGGTGGCTTACTTTCTCACTTTCCCTCTCTGGTCAAGTTAGAATAGATAAATCAATATAAATAAAATAATTCTTTTTTAAAAAAAGAAATTCCCCAGAAATCTCACTATTCCATTGTCTGATATTATAAAATGTTTCTTTTTTTTCCCCCTCAGGCATCAAGACTGGTCATCTTAGCAAGCTGAAGATAATACTATTCATGAGAGAAAATTGGTCCAAAGATCTTAGCCCTGTGCCACATCAGTTTGTTTACATGTCAAAATTAAGTGGGTGAACCTGGGGAAACTTTCTTTTGGAATTTAGAAAAAGAATTCTCAACATTCAGATGTTGGTTTTACTCCTTAAAGGTTATATGTGTACTTTACTCATGGTTCAGGAGATTGGGAAACTGTTAGTGCTGGCGCTCTCATTTACTGAGCCGTATCTGGAGTTAGAAATCATGCCTTATGACACCTGGTTCGTTGTGCAGATGGTTAGTTGCTTACAGTATTAGTACATGAGCAACTGTAATTTCTAGCTGTGCATTTAAATTTGATATGATTTCATTCTGAACAGTAAATACTGAGATTTAAAGCATAATCTTAATACAATTTTAGCTCAGCCCTTAGAAATATCACAATATAAGTGTTATTTTGCTTGGTCATAAAAATGAGATAAATGCTGCTCATCATCAGTTTCTTTTGGGAACAGTTTTCTCAATAATTTATTAATTCACCTAATATTTTAAGAAATGCCTAATGTATATGCTGTATTACTTTAAGACATCCTGTTACCCAAAATAAAAAAGTCATTATTTTGTCTATGCATGTCAAATAGGATTCTCATGTTTTTCATTTATGTGAAAGTAAATAAAATTTTAACTGCGCTATAAATAACACATTATACTTTTTAAATGCTGTATGCCATGTGCCAATGAGATAAACTCTGTATGTTCAACTCTTCTGAAATTTTCATATTTTTTTAGTTGCCAGAGGGTACATGCATTTGCCAGAGGGAATTACTGTAAACCCTTTTTCTCCATCTCTCCATCCCGTCAGTACATGGGGCACACACACCCACCTACTGGGATGGGATTCAATCTACAGTCAACCATGAGATCTGGCTCCCTTAATCACTAGACATGGGGCTGGCCCTGTTTTAAAATTTTTTAAGTAGCTTTATATAAACTGAAAAACTAAGAAATTTTGCTCAGTTGTTTTTTGTTTTTGTTTTTGTTTTTTTTTTTTTTTTTTTTTTTTTTTTGAGAGGTTTTTTTGCTATAGGGTGCATGCACTCGCCAGAAAAAGAGAAAAAATCACCCCCAAGGAGAATTGCCCCGCTGCAATCTCTTCTCCTCCATTCTCCTCTTGGGCATGCACACACACGTGCCAGCATGAGTTTAAGCCACTGGGTCCAGGGACTCGAACCTTGGTCAACTACATGGGAGTCCAGCAACATAGCCATTACACCAACTGCTGGTCCCTCAGTTCTTTAACATAATTTTGGCCTTCAAGAGTGTGACAGAATTTGTTTCCATGGCTTCATCTTTTAAACCCTAGAGTCTTTTACATCATGTTCCAAATGGCACTTGACAATAAAGGCCAAGCTTATTCTACAAGACAGGAATCAAAGATATTCACAGAGTTTGAAAATATTACAAATAACGTCATTAAAATAAAGATATGAATGGGATAGCTAGAGGATTAAGGAAGGCTTTACAGAGAAGTTAACACTGAGGCTTGATCTTCAAATAGACGAGGCACATCTCTCTGTCTCTGTCTAGCTACCACACACACTCTATAAAATCTCTCAAAAATAAACAAGGCACACAATTAGAAAAAATCTGGTGATTACAAAAATCCAAAACAAATGTATATCTAGCGCAAAATGGCATGGGGTAGTGCAATTTGGAATGTGTAAGTTAGAGCTAGAATGTAACAGAGTTCACCTGGACTTTTTTCTCTAGAGTAAGGAACCATTTCAGAGTTGAGCAGGAAGAAAATGCCAGATACTTGGGGGCGAGGCGGGGTGGGGGGTGATTTTTTTCTCTTTTTCTGGCAAGTGCATGCACCGTACAGCAAAAAAAACCTCTCAAAAATTTATGCAATCATAAATCATAGCAATACGGGTAATAAAGAAAAGACTAGTAGTTTTGCAATTTGCAGGTCAAAAGGATATAATTTAAGAGAGCAAAGGAAATATATTGTGCAAGAGCCCCATTAAATGTATTAGAGGTACAGGAAACAAATGTCTCAGAGACTGGATGTACAGGTGAGGGATAATTAGGGAATGGCTCTGAGACTACTTTAGGAAATGAGATTAAAGTTGGTACTAAAGATTAGGAGCTTATCTCTGTTTGAACTAGAGACCAAAGTCAGCTTGGATTCACCTGAATTAAATTTACCACCAGTGCGAGGCAACCAGACGACAGTCCTCTCCTCCCTTCCAAGACAAGATACAGTAGGTATTGTAGAAGACAAGGGTAATGTGGCCTCTGCGCAGAGTGGCTATGCTGAGCAGAGCACTTTCATGCAATAATCCTAAGAATATTTTAAATCTTGGAGTGACAGGACTAAATCTGAATGAAGACAGGTTTGTCTCATGCATTTTCCACCTCATCCCAGGGCCTCTTGTTCTAATTCAATGACTCAGCTCTTGAGTCTCAATTTCCTCATTAGTAAAGTAAAGCAGGTTTAATAACACTTACCTTGTCTACTTCACAGAGTTACCAGCATGTGGTAATGTAACAATATAACAAAAATGGTTTTGAAATTCTTAATATTGGGGCCAGCAGGTGGCGTGGTGGGTAAGGCACTGGATCTCACATGGACGACTAAGACAGTTCGAGTCCTGGGCCTGGTGGTTTGAAAAACACACTGGATAGGGACCAGCAGTTAGCATAACGGCTATGTCACTGGACTCTCATGTAGCCGACCGCGGTCCCAGTCCAGGACCCAGTTGGCTTAAATTCACGCCGGGCACATGTGTGTGCGTGCCCAAGATCCTGAGAGGAGAATGGAGAAGGGATTGTGGCATGACCATCCCCCCTGGGGAGGTGATTTCTCGCTTTCTACCTCTTCTTTTTGGCAAGTGCACATGCCCTATAGCAAAAACCTCTTTAAAAAAAAAAACTCATTAAATATGTTTTTAATGTATGTTATTTGACCTAATACGAACTGATGTGGTATAGATTTTAGAATGAAAAGTTGCTTCTATTCTTACTTAATGTGGTTTTGTTTCATTAATATCAATCACATTTTCTCCACTATTTAAATCAAACCAAACTAAATTACTCATACTATTGATCTGCAAGGTTTTTTTTTTTTTCCAGACGTTTTTTCTGCTATAGGGGGCATGTGCTCCCAGAAAGAAAGAGACAGAGAGATAGAAAGCGAGAAATCACCTCCCAGGAGAATGGCCACGCCGCAATCCCTTCTCCTCCATTCTCCTCTTGGGATCTTGGGCACACATGTACACGTGCCGGGCATGAGTTTAAGCCACCGGGTCCGGGACTCAAACCGCTGTCGGTTACATGCGAGTTCAGCAACATAGCCATTACGCTAACTGCTGGTCCTGATCTGCAAGGTTTTTAAGCATCACCACCATAAATAAGACTAGTGCTGTCCCAAGCAGATGACAGTTGTCTCCTAGAAACCTTATCTAAAGACTCAACAGGAAGGCTGAGTGTCTTATATTTTTTTATAAGAGATTTTTTGCTACAATGGCACATGCGCGCACTGGAGAGAGCGAGACAGAGACAGAAAGCAAGAAATCACGCCCCCCATGGGGGCTGGCCATGCTGCAATTCCTTCTCCATTCTCCTCTCAGGATTTGGGGCATGCACGCACACACACCCAGCATGAGTTTTAAGCCACCAGATCTGGGACTCTAACCACAGTCAACTGGGAGTCCAGCAACATAACCATTATATGATCTGCTGGTCCCAAGACTGGGTTTCTATTTTAAAGTTTGTATAAAAAGATACTAAAGATAACATCCTTCTATCAGATAAGGTACGAAGGTACATTTTTTTTTGGGGGGGGGAGAGGTTAATGCCATAGGGCACGTGCACTTGCCAGAAAGATAGAGACAGAGAGACAGAAAGCGAGAAATCACCACCCAACCCCCAGGGGATGGCCACGCCACAATCCTTTCTCCTCCATTCTCCTCAGGATCTTGGGCACGCATGCACACATGCCCGGCGTGAGTTTAAGCCACTGGGTCCAGGACTGGGACGACGGTTGACTACATGGGAGTCCAGCGACATAGCCATTACACCAACTGCTGGCCCCGAAGGTACTTGATTCTAACAGCCTGACACTGGCCCACTTATGAATTCATTTATACATAGGCTAGGCCCCTAGCAACTTTAATGTGTACCAACAAAACCTCCCCTTCTGAGTACCTCTGGGAACCCCTTGGTCTTTGAAAATGACACAGCATTCCTTCTTCACTAGGTCCTCTCCTGTACATCTTCAGAATTTAAAAAGCACATTCTAGTGGGAAGAAGAGAAAAATAATGACAAAACTCTAAGAAGTGGCTACCTCTAGGTAACAGGGTTATAGATACTTTTCTCAGCTTCTTCAACCTTTTTTTTTATTTTATTTTTCTTGGTTTAGGGCACATGCGCTCACCAGACAGAAAAAGACAGAAAGCAAGAAATCACTCCCTGGGGGGACGGCCACATCACAATCCCTTCTCCTCCATTCTCCTCTTGGGATTTTAGGCATGCACACACATGTGCCCGGCATGAGTGTTAAGCCACTGGTTCCGGGACTCAAACGTGGTCGACTATGTGAGAGTCCACCGACATAATCATTGTGACATCTGCTGTTCCCCAAACTTCCTACAGTAAGTAAGCATCTGTAACCTGTGCATTTTATTTATTTTGTATTTAAAACGTTTAGCACTTTACTGAGCCTGACATGGGTGCTTAGAGTACAATAGGAAGAGGCTAGCCTACCATTTTGGAGGTAAGAACTTATAGAAAACCATCACCTTCTACTTCTGACTTGGGGTGTGGACTTCCCTTTGAAAACAAACACAAAACTGTTTTTCCAGGTACCAGAACTGTTTGTATAGGAAGCAATGAAACAAAGAGGTAGCTATGATATGGGGATGCATGCATGTTGCCAGGTAGGCTGTGCATTTTAGAAAAAATGTCTTCACTGAGCACCAGGAAATGTACTAAGTTTAGAAAAAAATAAAAAGTTGGAGTCTTTACCTACATATCTTCTAATATTTACTTTAAAAAAGAAATGAAAGCTAGACTATGTCTTTCAAAAAGTTGCTTTTAAATAAAAAGTTTCTTTAGGTATGGAAATATGGAAGGTACATAGGCTCACATCCATTGTTTTCTGTCTATTCTTGGCAGTCTTTTGTGTAAAATTCTGTTAGTCTGAGAGCTTCTTGGTCTTTCTTTCCTACTCTATGGCTGTCATGAGCAGAATTTTGGCCTCCATGATCTTCACCCCCTTAGGTGTTATGCCTGTGAATATGCTATATGACTTGGCCACGGGAATTTTACATATGGAATTAAAGTTGCTAACCAACTGACCTTAAAACAGCCCAACGTAATTCCATGGACCCTTAAATGGGAAGAGTAAGGCAGAAGAGCCAGCCAGCCAGCCAGTCAGATGTGGAAGCACAAGTCCATTGCTGGCTTTATGCATGAAGGGATTCATGGACCACAGAACATCATGGCATTCAGAGGGCTTCTAG